TTTTTTTTTTTTTTTTCAGAACCGGGTATTGAACTCAGGCCCCTGCACTTTCCAGGCAAGCGCTTATCCCACTGAGCCATCTCCCCAGCCCCCCATTTGTCTTTTTGAGACAGGGTCTCACTCTGCTGTTCCAGCTGGCCTTGAGCCCATTTTGTATCCTAGGCTGGTCTCAAACTCACAAGGATCCTCCTGCCTCACCCTCCCAAGTGTTGGGATTATTACAGGCATGCACCACCACACCCAGCTAAAACCATGTACTTGTTAAAGTTTTGCCTATTATAACAGTATCATGTAATATTGCACAAGATTTTAATTTTTGGGAATCAAGTACTTATTTTTAAATCACCTTAATAATTTATTATTTTAAATACCTCATATTTTATCAAAGGCTCAGCAATTATAAGCAAAGCTAATTAGTCTATTTTGTTTCATGGGAGATCCATAATTTTTTTCACTAAACTTTTAGCAGTTTTTCTGCTTAGTCTACTGTAAAACCTTGCAATAGTTGCTTAGTTGGAGATATCATTTTACTGACATAGCTATATCTGTTTGTCCTTTTGAAGCACCTTATCTGAGCAAGCCTCACAGTGCCAGTGAGTTCCACAGTATGCCACCTATGGACAGTGTGTGCTGGCCCGTGCCCGGCCAGATCCATCCTGTGTCCACACCAGTGACTGAACTTGCTCGAGTTTGCGCCCTTGTTGGAATGCCACAGCCAGATTTCTCCTTTCTGAGAACAGCTCAGGTATAGTATGTTTCTACTCCATTTATATACATTCTTCAATACTGAGCTTAAATAAACTGATTGATAATCCGTGACTAGGAAAATACAATGGGGCTTTCAAGTTTTTATAAACAGTATAGATCTCTGTTTCTCACTCAGGCTGGTAAATTTGTATATAACTAGAGCCCTCAAAAAGGCTAAACGAGAAAAACCAGGGCAGCATGCATCCCAGCAAGATTCTTCAGATTGACAGAGCTAGTGACAGAGTATAACAATGACCTATCTAAACTGGTTTTTTGTTTTTGTTTTTTGTTTTTGTTTTTTTGAGGCAGAGTCTCAATATGCAGTTCAGGCTGGCCTTGGACTCACTTTGTAGCCTAGACTGGCTTCAAACTTGCAGTGATTCTCCTGCATCAGCCTCCTGAGTGCTGGGATTACAGATATATGCCACCATGCCTAGCCTTTTTGAAACTTTTTGTTCTCAAATGCCCTCATTTATTTGGGAGGAACCCAAAGAAGTTTTGTTTTCTTGTGTTACATCTATGTTTATCATATAGAAATTAAAACTAGTAAGTTGGGCTTATCCTTTTTATGACAGAGCAGTACTTCACTATATAAAAAAAGACATATTCATTCATCAGTTGGCAAGCATTTGGGCAGTTTCCAAGATAAGGCTATTACACAGGACAGCCAGTTAGCTCAGCAGATTGAAGTGCCTTCTTAGGCACATTGAAACACCTGCTTAGGCAGATGCAGGGACCAGGGTTCAATCCTCAGTCTGCTGTGCCAGCCCCGTGCTGAGATGGTGACTGAGACTGGGCATGGTGGTGTGCGCCTGTAATCCCAGTGCTAGAGAGGCTGAAAACAGGGGGATCACTAGAGTCTGAACTGTGTAGTGAGACCCTGTAGAACCTGTACTAACCACATTAAAAAAACAATTTTTTTTTTTTTTAAGATTTGGCTATTACAAACTGTGTGACTATAAACATGGGTGTGCATATATCGCTGCGCTATGATGCTTTTAATTCTTTTGGGAAGATAATAAAAGAAATAGCAGGGCTGAACAGAACCTCTAATCCTAGATTTTGAGGAACCTCCACACTGATTTCTCCAGTGATTGCACCCGTCTGTATCACAGACTGATCAGTTCTACAACTTCCCAAATAAGTAAATTGCAAAAGCTTAAGTGAAAGAGACAAGTGGTATAATTTTAGGGCTCCAGGAGGATCAAAACCCTCTAGCAGAATTTGAAATTCTCTGGGGGCTGAGACAATGAACTTCTCTCAACGGCCCATAATTATTTTGGATTTCAAACAAGGGAGTTGGATACTGAAGAAAGTGGGGAATCTGAGCAGGACTTTGGGAATCAGTTTCAGGACTTCTCCAAATAATAGATTACATTAACTCAGAAGAACTATATTATCTCCAGGAAGACCTTCAGGAGGGAGATGCCTGCAGCTACAGTCTTTAGCTAATTGGTATTGGAGCCAGGTGTCCTCAGCTATGGCCATGCCTTGTCCTTTGAGGCATCGCAGCCACTACAGGTCTCACCCGGGACCAGTGATCCTAGAAGTTCACTTACTGTGAGTCCACTGCCCATCTCCAGACAAGGGGCCTAGGCTTCAACAGAATCACAAGTACACATAGAAAGCCAATTGGTTAATTGTAAATCCTGCTCAGAGCTGCTTCATAGTGATCTCCATCAAGTCTGCACTCGCACTAACAGTGGAGAAGGTTTTCTTAAACCCACAACCCTATGAGCATTTGTTATTGTTTGACTTCTTGATGATAATCCATTCTTTCAGGGATGAGATGGAATCTCAGCATTGTTTTAACTTTCATTTCTCATGACCAGCGATGTTGAACATCTTCATGTATTTATTTGCTGCCTACACCACTGCTTCTGACAAGTATCTATTCCTCTCCGGTGCCCATTTTTGGATTGGGTCTTTAAATTTGGCAGATCTGGGTTTTGTTGTTACTGTTCTTTATATATTTTAGATAGTAGTCTTTTGTCTGTGGAACAGCTGGTGAAAATTTTTCCCTACACTGTAGGTTGTTTTTTCACACTGTTTATAGTTTCTCTTGCTGTACAAAAGATTTTTAATAAAATGAGGTCCTAATGCTAGGGATTTAGCTCAGTGGCACAGCACCTGCCTGCAAGCATGAGGTCCTGAGTTCGATTCCTGGTACCCAGAAAAAAGAAAGAGATCCCAGTTGTTCTTTGTGATAGTTCCTATGTGATAGGGTTTTCTTCATAAAGTCTGTGCCTACACCAGTTCTTTAACAGTTCTACATATTCTATCTTCTAACAGATTTAGTGTTTCTGTTTTAATATTTGGATCTTTGATCCATTTCAATTTTAGTTTAGTGCATGGTGAGAGATATGGGCATAATTTTAATCTTAGGCATGTGGAAAGCCAGCTTTTCCAACACCATTTACTAAAGAGGCTATCTTTCTTCTAGTGAAAGCATTAGGTTGAGGTTATAGTTCAGCAGCACGACACCTTCCTGGTAAACATTTGGTCCTGAATTTGATTCCCTGTTTAAAAAATAATAATAATAATTGAAGTGTTTATCACCTTTTTCTTATTAAAATTTTTTTTTTACATTTATTTATTTTGTGTGTGTGTGTGTGTGTGTGTGTGTGTGTGGCCAACTCAGCCCACCAGGGGGCGCGGCTGGCTGGCATGTGGTGCTGGGGGATCGAACCGTGGTCCCTGTGCTTTGCTAAGCTTAGTTTGTTCCAAGTAGGTGCTTTAGACCACTGAGCCATCTCTCCAGCCCCATTTATCACCTTTTTCTGAGATAATGTGGCTAGTATGTCTGGAGTTTGTTTCTACATGTTCCACTGATCTTCAGCTCTAATTTTTTTTTTTCCAATACGATGTTCACAGTAGCTACCATTACACAGTAGTTCTGTATAATTTCAAGTCAAGGATTGTGATGCTCCCATGCTTTCCCTTCATTGCCCAGAATTGCCTTTGCTATTCTAAATCTCTTCTGGTTCCAGATGAATTTTAGGATTTTTTTTTTCAACATAGAATCTAGCCATTTAATAACAAAATCATCTCTACTCTCACTCCATCACAGCACCCTGATGGGGCTGGGGAGATGGCTTAGTGGGATAAGTGCTTTCCTGGCAAGCACAGGGGCCTGAGTTCAATCCCTGGTTCTGCCAAAAAATAAAAAACACCACCCTGACAATCACAGGTCCAGTTGTAGGTGGGGGCTATGGAAAGCCAGCATGAATGCAGGCAGGAAAGACGGGGTCTGTCAGATGCCTGCTCCCCAGGTCAATGACTTGAGAATGCAAGGAGGCCTCTTCTCTGCTCAGCCACCAGCAGGGAGCTCCATCCACAGGAACCTGGACAGCCCATGCACCCAAACAGAGGGCATGAGGGTCCAGGGCTGGCCGGGGAGAAGAGGGATAAGAGCAGAAGTGGTGGGCCTGCCACCAGCATAGGTCTGCTGACCTGTCTCTGCCATGTCCAGCTCCTGGAGAGCCATGAGCACTCACACAGGCCTTGCCTTCTTGGCCTTCTCAGACCTCAGAGCCTCATCATGAGCTTTCCACTTCTGTGCCAGTTTGTTGGCCTCTCAGATTTGTGCCTCTTGCCGAACATGATCTTTTGGTAAAGGTACCTCTCCCACTTCTTCCTCATCATGCTTACCAGGCGCTTGGCCTCACTCTCCTCCCTCTGGGCTAGCTGCCGCTTTTCTTCCATCTTCACGGTGCCTGCCATTACCCTGGGTTTCTTCTCCTCTATCCTCTGCTCTTCCAGGGCTATGAGGCAGTCCTCCTCCTCCTTCTCCTCCTCCTCCTTTGAATCAACCTCTCCATCTTCTTCTTCCTCCTAGCCATCACCTTTGTTGTCTTCTTCCTCCTCCTCCTCCTCTTCTGATTCTTTCAAGTTTCCTGGGTCCTCTTCTCACTGCAGAGCCAGCAGCTTCAGCTTCTCAGGTGGAATGTAATCTCCTTCCTTCACAGACATGAAGGGCAAAAGGTGTGGGGGCAGCTGCACTCCAGGGACGTACTCTGCCACAGGGAGAAAGCCGGGCATTGACACAGTCAAACACCCACTGGGGCTGCACGTAGTACCTGCCGATAACGGGGTCTGCTGTCCAGGCCAGTCGACAATCTGGTGGGTGAGGCCAGCATCTGTGACATCACGGGTGGCCCCAATGCACAAAGATTTGTCCCAGGACACATCCCCCCAAAACTTCTGATGACTAAGGCCAGAGCCTCACGGGGCACCTTGAGGTTCAGGAAGAACTTTGGGCCTTCAAAGAGCTTCTTGTGCCTTTCTTGAGCCTCCAGCTCCATCCTGTAGTTCTGTTCCTCTAATGCCATCTCCATCAGCAGGAAACTCGTCAGCCTGAGCCTCCTCCTCCACCGCAGGCACCACTACATGGGCCAGGCTAGCACTGAGGGCCACCAGTTTCTCCATGGAGCTCTCGGAATCCAATGTGTAGGCATCCTCCTTCGCCTTCCCCTCTGCTCAGGCCTGACCCTTGAGCTTTGGCGGGTGGTAAAGTTTGAGAAACTGGTAGAGGCAGAAGCTGACAAAGCCCAGCAGGGTGGTGTAGAACTCAGTGAAAGTGGCCACAACCCTGTAGTCCACATCTGTCGGGTGACCATGGGGGAAGGCATAGGGTGTGATCCACACAGTGGGCTGCCCCAGCCCCTCAGCCTGGTAGTAAATGCCTTTGATGGACAGGAAGACTCGCATTGCATGGGTGGCAATGATGTAGTGCAGAAACTCCACGGGAGCCGCTGGCACAGCTAGATGGTGTGCACATGGCACTTGCCTGTCCTTGGGAAGATGGAAAAGAGGAAGCACATGAACAAGGCATCTTCCAGGTCCCGCAGAGCATTGATGAATGTAGGGTACCACTCCTTGATGATGTGGTCAAGTTTGTAGCTGGGCTTATTGTCCTTCAGATGTTCCACAGTATTCCACTCACTTTTCCCATAGGCCTTCCAGAGCCTCCAAACAAACACCTTGTATTCCCAGAGTTTGTTGACAATGGGTTCATGGAGGGAAATTTGATGTCTTTAATGAGATAAAAGGTTCAGGCCGCTGTAGAACCCTTGTTCACTTTCTTCTTATGTTTGGGCTCATGGGGATAAATGACCTTCAGGATGCACAACCTCCTAAAGTCTGCCAGGCTCAGCTGCAGCTTCTTCCAGGCTTTGTTTTGGGTGATGTAGTTGGTGGCAGAACCTTGTTCATACTTCTTCTCCAAGTTTCTCATGGTTCCACATTGAAGACTGTAGGAGTCTGCGCAGACAGCCAGCCAGGATTATTTTCTCTAATTCTGTGAGATATGAATTTGGAATTTTGATTGAGATTGCATTAAATCTATATATTTTGGGGGTATGGCCATTTTCACTACATTGGTTCTTCCTATAAGCAAAATAGATAGATAGATAGATAGATAGATAGATAGATAGATAGATTTTTTTTTTTTAATGTTTTTGGTACAGGGTCTCACTACACAGCTCAGACTCTTAGTGATCTTACTGTTTTCAGCCTCCCCAGTGCTGGGATTACAGGCATGCACCACAGTGCTTCTCTCAGTTGCTGGGTCAGTGTGCCCCAGAGGTGGGGCCAGCGTAGCATGTAGTACCAGGGATCAAACCCC